GGGGGGGGGGGGGGGGTCTAGGGTGAGTGCTTGAGCAAAACACGATGACCGTGGCCCAAAAACAATGCACTGCACAGTGGCGACCAGCAGTGGTGTGTGGATTGTCTCTGTTGGTGATATTTTATGAAGGATTTCCGTAACGGGCGACCACTATGAAATACACAGAGTATAGAATAGAGGGTTTAGAGTTAGGGTTGGTACTAGGGTTAGGCTTTGGGCTTGGATTAGGAGTTGGGTTAGGGGTAGAGTTAGGGTTAAGGTTAGGGTTAGGTCTCTTCTTTGTTGTGTTTGTTAGGGTGGTCGCTCGTTAGGGAAGTCCTTTCATAATGTGTATTATTCATGCGTTTATGTATGAACTTTTATTTGCATAATATATATACTGTACTCCATTGTAAAACAAATTTCCCGAATAGATCAGTAAAGTGGAATTCATTTATATTTTAACGAATTTCTGTTTCTTTATTTGTTGTTTAGCCGTGTACGTGTTTGACCGTGAGGTGATGGAGGCTATGCTGAAAGAAGAACAGGAGAGGATCAAGGTGGACCTCGAGAGATTTGCTGCCAAGCTCAAGCAGCATGGGGTAAGAGTTTTGTTTTTCTTTAAAATGAATTGGTTTTTTCGTTGTTCTGATTTAGTTTGTTCTTTTTGGGCGGGGGGGGGGGGTTGTTTTTAGGGGAGGGGGGTGAAATTGACTTTTGCTGTTTTTTATATTATGTTGTTTTGTTTCGTTTTGTTGGAATTTTACTCCATGGAGAGGAGCTTGAGTTGAGAGAAACAGTTTTTGGAAGGACCGGGTAAATTTCGGTCACCATTTTAATTCGTGTCTCAAATTCTCAAATTCTCAAATTTGGGTCAAATTCAAGACCAACTGCAGCACAATAGTTGGCGAGAATTGGGTGTTTTGTTTATGCTTAAAATCTGGCGCGGATACAGTACCGACAGTAACCCCTTTCCCCTACCCCTCCCCCCCCCCTCATTTTTTTCCTATATATTATTATATTATGTGCTTTTTCAAAACTGCAGTAGGTTAAAGCAGATTTAAAGTCGCACTACTACATGTACAGCTAACATAGGAATGAGATTGTAATTTGATGTAGCCTTCAATCCTAAACAACGACATGACAAACTGATTCTCTCATAACTATGAATTGGCAGCTTCAATTTGTAAAGTGAATTACTAGCTAGACTACTTGAATGCCTTCTTCTGTTCCTCTTCTTTCTTCTGTCTCCCTTTCTTCACAAGGCAACAACTGATCTGATGGGTGTCAGTGGGCAGTCAGAAGCCTGCAGAGGAGTTTGTTGTTCTAACAGTATTTCTTTCTTTCTTTCTTTTTGTACCAAAGTTTTCAAATGAAACTAAACATCCCGTACTTCTTCTTGAGCTTTTGAACGTGTCAAGTTGGTCTTAAATTTTCAGGAAGGTGCTCAAAATTGTATGAGCAAAACACTAAATTTGTATGAATGTAACCAATATGGGGAGAGTGAAAACCCTTTGTGAGCGAGGAGTTACTGATTTCATCAGTATTTCGAAAGGGCAGAGATTAAAAATGATGTACAGAGGAAGCAGAGAGCTGTAATTGAGTGATGTTTGGGGATGCTTACAATGTGTTGTGGCTGCAATAACAAGCAAGGCCTGGATGTGTCATCAGTAGGTCAACAACATCCCCCTGTTGGGGAGTCGTGCTAGTGTCAGGGAAAGCACAGGTGTGGTCACAGATGATAGCCATACCAGCACCTGCCGTCACTTACCCCCCCCCCCCCTCCAAAAAAAAAAATTCTTTTTCTCCCTCTTGGCCTCCTTAACTCTCTCCCCACCTATATCTGCCGTTTTCTCTCTCTCTGTCTCGGTCGTGGCGTATCAAATACAAAAAACGAAAAAAAGAAAAAAGCTCGGAACAGGGCACTGAGAG